GTATTGGACATGTCCAGACGCTACATACACTGCGTCATGGTTTCACTAGAGGAGAAAGGATTCATCCTCTGGTGACCATGAATGTACAAAATGTCGTGGCAGTCCATCAAATAGTTGTTGAGATATTTCAGTCTGGACCAAAGTGGTGGACTTGTCTTAAAACGTGGCTAAAAACTGAATTTCATGTCACCTCCTTGGCCTTTCCTATAAATCCTTGACCTCTGACCTTCTGGGTTGGCCTGCTCTTCAAGCTGCTCGCTCCCAGACGCCTGCTGAGCCGTTCCTCCCGAGACCCTGGGGCCAAAAATCGTGGAGTCAGATACAGTAATGACGGCGTTAATATGTTATCTGCTGTAGGGGAGAGCGGGGTAATGTGAGACATTTTTTACATTTGCTCCCCTCTAGGCGAGCTAAAATGATATACCAGTAAAATTTACACATTTCCCATTAATTCAGGATGTTTCCTAGCAATGGAAATGATCAGAATGTCTTCAGGACAAAGGGCAGTGAAAATATGATTGTTTTTTAAAAAGTGGTCTTGTGTCTCACTTTACCCCAGCTTAGGGGTAAAGTGAGACAGACCAGAGAAATCAAGGGGGTAAAGTGAACCAGCTGGGGGTAAACTGATCCACTTACTTTTTCCACTTTGAAACTACCATAACAACACATGTTGTAACAGTTAGAATCCTGACAGCTAGATTGACAACCACACATTCCAAAACTAATATCGGACTAGTAACAGAATCAGCGACGAGGCTCATGTTCGGCCAGCAGGAGTTGTGTGGACAGCATTGGGTGAACACGAGCTCTGGAATGAGTGGGGCCAATCCGGGTTGGGACCCGGCACCCTGGGGTGAAGTCTGGAGGTTGAGCGACAGGGGACAAAGACCGGGCAGGACGTTTAGGAAAGGGGGACAGTTCTGAGCTCGGGGATCAGATGCTGCACACGCTGCTGGCTGCTGGTTTGACTGTGTTTGTGTCCAAGACTGCATGTCTGCTCTCTGGTGAGGGTTTGCTGTTTAACTTATTAAACCAACCGATCAAGTCTTCTCTTAGATTAGTGGGATCACCAGAATTAAAAGCGAAACTGATTTCTTAGAAAAATAAGACTGATGGTGATTCATTACCTACACAGACAAGTTTCATTTCTGCTCCGTTTTAAAGTCGGAGGACATTTCTTCAGTAACTCTTCAACCAGACGAGGACGTGTCGAAATTTGCCTGGAAATTGCTTAATTTTGCAGAGCTTGTGGCTTTTTCCCCCAGAGCAATTGTTCAATAGCATTTCTGAAAATGACTATGAAAGAGCTCGTGTCTGTTGCGTTGATGCAGTTACAGAGTTATTATTCAGGGTGCTTGTTGCTTCGCGTGATTAACAGGATGGGTGGACCGGCAGACTCACACGGGACAAAACCTGGCTCTGTGTTCCACTGGGGTGTCCTTGATAAGTGCACAAAGACAGCGAAGATGACAAGAAATGAATTATGGTGTCACGCTGTGGTGGAGGGCATGTGGAGGGGGTGGGGGCAGAATTGGTTATCTGATGCAATCGTGGTGTAACCTCTGTTATTCTACAGCACTGTTGCCATATAACGCACCTCCACTGGGTGGACCTAAACATCAGTGAGAGTGAATGATGAGTCCAAGACTATCAAGTGTAGAATGCCCGTAAAATGCCCATTTCCCGCTAAATAAATCCCTTTACATGTTTTCACGGAGCTATATTTGTTCGGGATATCAAGCATCCGCTCTTATTGCATTACTAATTAGAACACGTTCCTTTTCTCTGTGAATTGGTTCAAAATGTCTTGTTTCGCTTTTTGTTTCTAAATCTGTCAAATCGCCGACAAATAGCCTAATAAATATAATATTACAATGTGAAAACGAGGGACACAAAGCTCCGACAGGCACCATTTTGGCTCTGTTCAGGCTTTTTATTATTTTATTTTTAGCGACGTGCGTTAAACCAGCATGGATTAAACAAGATATCCGGTTGCGCAGTTTCAAAATGAAAGCCCCAGAGGCCTTAACATTTTTTTTTATTAAAACAAATATTGTGTTCACACAGTTCTCAATTGTTTATGTATCTGTACACACTGCTTACATATTTAAGATAAATCTTTACTTGTTTATGTATTTCATAACAATGTTGCAATGTTAACTCTCTAATAGATTTTCACTTTTTGTAAGTACAGTTCTTGTTTTTATTTCATCGTTGCTTTTGGCAATTTAGACGCATGTTTCCCATGCCAATGAAGCCCCTTTGAGTTGAATTGAATTGAACTGAAATAGCGTCTACGATGAGGTGACTTTTATTTTTTCAAACACGAGCTGTAGACTTCCTGTTGCACGCCGGCTAACCTGACTCATCTCAGAGCGACTTCCCACCTCAGATGGAGCAACAGCGCCCTCTGGTGGTCGGGCCAGGCAGAGCCAACATGTCGGCCCAGACTGGTCCTGATGCTGCGAGGATGCAGAGAGCAGCGATATGAGAGGATATATGTATGTAAAGCGTGCCAGGCCCGGTTTATCCTGGCGCAGTCTCTGTGGCGCAATGGAATAGCGCGCTGGACTTCTAATCCAGAGGCTCCGGGTTCGAGTCCCGGCAGAGATGAGTCACTCTGTGTGCCACACGGCAGACCTGCGGTCATTTTTGTATGTTGGAAAAGATGATGATGTTTTGGATGCAGATGCTGTAATAGTCGTTCCTCACTATCTGAGCAATAATGTAGTTTGTAGTGAACAGATAAGCACACGGACCCATCCGTCTTCCATGCATGCGAAGTCAAATCTTTTGTTCTCTTTTGGTAAATTTACACTAGCTGTGAAAAAATCGTGAGTATATATTAAGTCCATTTTTAATTCGGTGTACTCATATGAGCCTGCTTGTTTTCTTTACTGATACCATTGTCTTACTGCGGCACATATACGTTGTATCTTTATTTGTATGATAGGCTACATTTGATTTTACCTGGCTTTAAAATAAAAAAGAATATTGTTTTATCTTTATTCTGCTTTTTGGGCTCGATTTCTACAGAAAAAGGAGTTATAACATGTTAAAGGGAGTAGCATGGCTAACGGGTTAAAATGATCTTGTACAAAAACCTTGGAATTTGACAGTGTGCATTTTCAGTAGCCTGTGGCAATTATCACAATTACAATTATAGTATTGGAATTAAACTTCACACACGCACACACACAACCAAAAATAAATTACAAAACATTATAGACTACACTATATTTTCCCCGAGTTATCCGTGAACCATTCACAACACATCCACATTTGAATTATTACTTTTAGTCATTTTCTGCATTTGTAGTCCCTCCTGCGGGCTTTTGTCAGACAGTAAACGTGGACACAAACCAAAATATTCTGGGAACAAAAAAGGTGAATATATCTGGTGTGTGCGCATGCGCAGATATTTTTGGAACAGTGTTCCAGTTGCGCTTGGGCCACGGTCGTGCTTGGTCGACGACGCGAGGGGGCGCTCCAGTACCGGCGTAAGTCCCTCTCCACTGGACTGAGATGGAAGGAAACCGGCTCACTGTGCAGACCAGTGACGGCTACGGTCTCCCGCAGAACCATCACCAAAATCTGTAGCCTACATTATGTGACAGGAATGAGGACACGGTCCTTTTATTCATCATGTGTTTGGGCAGTTGCTTCACAGTGACATCATTGCCTTTCCCTCTAAATAATATTATTCTAGTGTCCGTGAATACCCGCACAGTACTTTTGACCTCCTATAACTTCTATAAGCATCTCCTTCTAATATTAATTTGACCTTAAAGCTCCGTGTGACATCATGATACTATGACATGCTCAGTTATGTTCAGTAACAGCTGACCTCATTCATGCTATCTTCTGATGTATGATATCTCTAGATATTTATCTTTTAAGTGTGACATCTGCATCACTCTTAAATAAAAATGATTTAAAAAAACTAGGTGGATACAGATGTGGAGGTAAGTTACGGTGTCTAGAATGACATCATCACCTAATGAAACACTGTGAACAACAGAAGTCAAGCAGTCCCGACCACAGCAAATGTGTCAAAAGGGATTATGCCCTTCTAAACTGGTTTATTTCTCTTTTTTTCCGTCATGTATTTTTTTGCCGGTGTTGGCGTGTGCAGGATCCAGAGGGAGAGAAGAAAGAGGGCAGTGCTGTGGTGCTGCTGACGTGAGAGAGAGAGAGAGAGAGAGAGAGAGAGAGAGAGAGAGAGAGAGAGGAATGCCCCGTTAATGAGAATATGACGTCAAGTCAGAGAGATTACAGCGAGGACAAAACCGGAAGTAGAGTGTTGTCGCATTGTGTGAACTTTTATTTTATTCTGATTTGTCAGGAATGTCAAAAATGTTTTTGAACTTTCTTATTGTTTAAAAAGAAGACCTTGTCGATGAACATCTTTATATTTATAGGTCTTAAATTAGAGTATTATCATTGGGGGATATATATATATATCCCCAATGTAATAATAACTATTGAATTATAAAAATTATTTTGCAAACTTACCCACCATACTTTTAGATGAATAAAAGTGCATTCTCTAAATATAAGAGTTACCAGCTATGAATCCCTCAATGTTTCCTAAAAAAATCTCAGAATAAAGACAATTATTAGAAGAGTTTTGGGGTTACAGAGGCTACAGCGTGCACATAGTCATGCTTATACTTCTGAAGAAAATGATTCCAGGACAAAAATTCTGCAGGGTTTATTTTGAAGGAAAAGCTTTTTTTATTTTTAGGAAAAAAAACATTCTATATGACAGTGGCACTTAGAAGAGGAGTCACCTTACATATGTTGTAGAGGGTTGTACAGGACTAAGCAGTAAATGTAACATCAAACACAATACACCCTGTGAATATGATCTAGAAGAAATCTATCATGTGTTTATTATATGAATACTACTTTTGTTGATAGTTTGTTCTATATATAATTATTGACTAACCGTATAGCAACCGTCTTGTTCAAGAGGATTTTATTTTGAAGAGATGACCGACGGTTTCCGGTGTCACCGCTGCTAGCTTACCGCGTCCGCGTAGATTAGAAAACGGACTGTCGCTGGAGAGCAAAGAAGAGGAGAGAGGCGAGAAAAAGCAGTGAAATGGTGTAAAACCCGAGCAAGTCTAAGCCGAGTCAGGGGACACACGAGGAGGGACGACGCAGGAGGATTATTTTTCAAAGCATAATTACTATTAAAGTCAGTAAACTCCCGCTTTTTGATGCTGTCCTCACGGAGGTTTGAGCCAATAACGGACTTATTGGTCGGCTGAACCATGCAGAGGCTGCTGCTCCTGAGTTTGGTGTTGAGTTTTCAAACTGGTAAGGCTGCGTTTCTCTCTTTTTAGCGCATAACACACGGCGAGCAATGTTTGACTGTAATGTTGTGTGAAACTACAGAGGCTTTAACACAGAAAGAGCCCTCCATTTGTATTTCTTCACAAGTGTGTCTTTTGTCGGGGAGATAAAAGGAGGACAGGCACATAACGTGATTTCATAGCATTCCCATATGAGCCGCAGCAATGGATCACCTTAGGCGTGTGTGGGTGCGCGTGTTCGTGCACGTGCGGCATCGTGCGAGCGCGCTCGCGCGTGCGACAGCGTGTCCGCACCGCAGCAATGGTTAACCGCACGTTTTCTTTTTTTTCTTTTTTTTTTACCAATCATTGTCTCGCGCCGCTGTCTGTACGCGTGTGCGAATACACGCGTTCGATTGCGCGTGCGTGCGTCCAATTTGAACATGACTGGCGCGTGCGCGCCCACAGGTCTGAGTGACCTTTTGCACATGACAAACCCCTCAGTGGCGTTATTGAGGACGCTGAGGACGTGACGGGAATGACAGTGATTGACCAGCGCTGCTCTACATGCCAGCAGCATCTGAATGGCTTGTCAGTCAATGAGACCACTTCCACCAGCCCCTGTAGTGATCCTGTAGTGATCCTGTAGTGAAAGACAGCTTATCTACCCCCCCACACGCACACACACTCTGATGCTCCTGTCCTTGTGTCCTACCTATGTGCTTGACACAAAGCCCATGTTCACCCTCTCTGTGCATTCCATGATGGCACAATGAGGCGTGTGCACCTAGCAGCAGCAGCACCCATGCATCTGCTCCCCCTTCCATACCTGTAGGGTACCAGGTAGGCTATTGGCTTATGATAATCACAGCTGTAGCCGAGTTGCTGGGAGACAGGAGGCTGAAGGAGGAGGAGGAGGAGAGGATGGTTGTAATTTCCATAAGCTACCTGTTTGATCGAGGGATATCTGTGTCGTCGTGGACGCGCTTCCACGGCAAACCTCCCTTTCCCCCCCCCTATTGTCTACCTTGGCTGACCGGGAGCGTGCACGGCTGGCCGGCTGGCCACTTCATCATAGGTAGGGGGCGTGTTCAGGGAAGGGAAGGTATGGAAAGGGATGATGTCACCGTGTCTGCCAGGCTTTGTATCGCTCAGCCAGGCTCGCCGTGCTCGGCATCCACCCATGGTGTGCTGTTGAGGGTTCACGCAAGCGCGCCGCAATCTTTCTACAGCGAGCAGCAGGCTCATTTTCATCGACCAAGCAGGCGCTCCTCGAATCCACGTATGACACAATCTGGCAATATGTCGGCAGAGCACGCAAACACACACTTCCCCCCCCCTGCTCTCTCCATAGAGACCCCTCACTACTGTCGCATGCTGTTGCCCTGTTTGTCCACTCATAAACCATTCAGTCCACATGACTAGCTCAGTAACACATGCGGACATGCATAAACACACACACACACACATAAACACAGCCTTATTTGCATGTGTGGAGCCATGTGCCCTATTGTCTGCTGTAGAACCATTACAACTGTAAAGTCCATTATTACTCCGCGTTTGGCTCTCGAGCACAAAGACGTTTGCTCTCGAAGGCAAGATTAGCAGGCTGCATTTGTTCAGTGCGATGTAAAATGGTGTAGTAAATGTTGCACTGTGCTTTTTGAAAACAAAAACAAGAGAGGAGTAAACATTACCCAGAGAGAGAGCTGGAGTTAATATCGCCTTTAAAAGAGATGACACTCGTCTTTAGGTTTTGGGAGCATTTTTCTTCAGAGCACCCAGACTCTTATCTTTTCATTAGACAAGTAAAACATTATTTCATGGCCTGCAATTTGCACACATGTAATTGCCTGCTAGTGCTAATGATTGGATGGTTATTAGTCAAGCGACTAATTAAAGCTTTGGTGAATCACAAGTTATTTAGTTTCAGTACGTCTAGCTGCACCACCGGTGTGATTGATTCAGCATCCCGGCCTTGTATCTACATACCAGCCTGGTAACACGTCCACCATTAATGCAGCTGTTTAATGTTACTGCATAATCAATCATCGCAAACGCACGCCTTTAACTTCCTAATGAGCAGGAGAGCCTTGATGCTTGGACTTGCAGCACTGCACCTACGGGGGGGGGGGGGGGGGGGCCTCAAATGCTGACTCGGACAAAGGCTCCGGTGCAGGTGTGCCGTGTGTCAGCCTCCGTCCCTTTGTGTGGATGGAGGCCCTGCATCACAGACAGACGGATTCCTGTGTTGTGAGCAGCGAAGAAAATATTCAGATATTGCTGGAGTCAGACAGATTAGAGGGGGGGGGGCTTCTATGCTCAAGGGTGGTTTGATCAGTAAGGTTGTGGCCACTGCTGATGTAATGTCTCAAAGTGGGCTGTAACAGTTCAAATAACAATGAAGAATTAGCAAAGCCTCATAAAGAATCCAGCGCGATACTAAAACACTCTGTTAAAACTGCTGATTTACAACATTTGATGCATTCCTGCCAGTAATTCTCTGTGACATTTTTATCTAAATAAGTTCTGAATTTTCCGCTCTCGGTATCTGATTCATACACAGTCACTCTGGAGACTGCTGGTACATGAAATCTTTTTTTTCCTCCATTTTCTGGGCAAACAAATCCTCTGTTACGCAGCAAGTGATGTGTTTTATGTATTCACAATGAATAAAAGAACTGAGTAGTTAGCTCGAGCTAATCTCAGTATAACCAGAGCCCTGTTTCATTACACTGGAGGTCTGGAGATATTCAAACACTGTGTTGGTTCGAGAAGGATGGGGGGGGGCGTAGTGGGCTGTAATAACCACTAAAACTGCACTTGGGAGGACTGGTTCCTGCTCATTTAATGGCTGTGAGAGATTTGAACATGAGCAGTAGTGGCTGCTACTGTGGCTGATGAAGAAAATAAAAAAGTGCCACCTACAGAAACTCCCAACATGTCAACGTCCTCCTATGAGGAGCTCATGGATTATCACTTACAGAATTATTTACAGCTCTGTGAGCCTCTCTGAAGGTGCTCTGCCGTGGTTTCATGGCCAGCCAACCATTTTGTGGCGCGATGGTGAACCCTCTCCGGCTCAGAGTGGAGATCTGGAATGACACATGTAGCGAGGCAGAAGTCTGTTTTAAATTTTGATCCCAGCGTGAGCGAGATGTGGCTCTGGAGCGTCCTACTGTTGATACGCAAATATGGGTCACGGTTCTTTTAACGGGATCCGAATGAAGCCTATTTGCCGAAAAAGCATCCCTAATTGACATCAGCCACTGAAAGCAATCACTGTGATGTCATGATGTACGTCCATGCCTGTTGTTGCTCATTGGGCTCTGTTCAATCAACACATTCTTGGCACATGTGTCGCGGCGCGTGTTCCTCGGTGTGTGACGTGGTGATAGCTGTCCCCCCCCCCCCCCCCAGCTGATGTGTTTGTCTCAAGGCATTCCTCTGGACACGAGGGTCCCAGAAGGCTTCTTGAAGCGGCGCTTGGAGAAAAAGAATCCGCTTGCAGTGAAAACCTGAAGAATGTAGTCAAATGGCTTCATTATCAAACTTGTGGTCAGAGAGGAATTCAATCAAAAACTGAACAGCTACAGTTTCTCAAGTGAAGCCTCAGGAGTTAAAGGCCCCATAACCTGATTGTGTTTGACAGGCCGGGGGCATCCAAGTTATAAAAAGACAGAGGGGAGAGAAAAACACACACATCCCCTTAAAACGCTTCTTTATGCAGAGACCCCCAAGCAAGAGAGGAACACTTTATCACATCTGACTGAATCTATTGGCCTTGTTTTCACAAACTGCACGGCCACATTCTGCAGCGAGGACCAATTTGGGGTGATGGCCAAGGGGTGGGGCGGGTTACCAAAAAAAAAAAAAAAAAAAGGTTGTTTTGGGGGGGAGAAGTGTGAGAGAAGGAGGGGGGATAAAGAGGGGTAGTCTTGCGGGCAGGTGGGTGAAGCCTGATGCAGAGTGATTCAACTTTTTCTTTGGGGGGTTTGTTTAAAAGGTGGTGAGGTGGGGGGGGGGGGGGGAAGATTGTAGTGTAGGGAGGAGGGCGTGCTGGATGAAAAGAAAAGCGAGCCGGCAAAGAGGAGAGAGGGACGAGGACGACGGAGGAGCGGTCGGGAGGCCAGCGGCTGAGAGGAAGGCACCATTACTCAGGCCTGACTGCTCCCTCAGTGGGGACAGTGAAGCTGCTCATTCAGACAGAATATGGCCGAGGCCGGTTCAAAGGCTACATTTGCGCTGGAATCTGGAGTGATTGAACCCACGTCTGAGGGCCCAGCCGAGCTCCCCCCCTGCCCCGTCCCCGCTGAGGTTAATTGGCTTTAATCGGCGTTGCTGTTCACTTTCTTCTTCGCTTCCTTGCCTTTCTCTACCAAACATGAGCCCTTTTCTGCTCACCAAAGTTCATTCTTTCTCCCTCTCTGTCCCCTCCTGGACTTTTCTTTTTTTTTCAATCCGACTCCCCCCC